ATAAAAGTAGCAATATTATGTAACAATAAAATGTAAAAGATAAATATCAATATTAAAATATTCAGTCTGACTCTGAAAGAAAGTCAGTCTATATAATGACATCATACTAAATGCTAAATGCATGCCATTCATTGCATTCATTTGAATGTCCAGGATAATATCTCTCCGTTTTACACACATTTTATAACTTTTAATTTTTTCTGCTGTCCTACTTTCCTGTTTAAACATTTTTATGAACTAATGGTTTACTCCAGCACCCATGTGAACAGAAATTTGTCATTTTCGAACAACTCTTAGACACATTGTTGGTGCTAAAGATATTAGTTTCCATTTTCTTTTTCTTTCATTGTTCTGTTGTCTTATAGAATACACATCATCTTATTAAGATTTCTTTTCTTCTGTCTTTATTTGCATACTTGGTGTTGAGGTAATCCAAATATAATGGAAATTAATCAAGTTACATTACTTTAACATTGTGATACTTAGATTAGTTTACTGACTACTGACTAGGAAAAATGGAAAAGGCTACAATGTGATTTTCTTCCTTTAAAACAAACTATTGAACTATTTTACTGGCCTTGAGCCTAACAATGCACATCTCAGAACAAACATTTTTGTGAATGTGGCCCCAGGTTTTAGTCCGTATACAAAAACTAACATGAGGGCTGGTCTGCTTTATAGTCTCTAATGGAAGGCAAAGCCAATTAGGACTCTACACTTTGAGTTGAGAACACATCCTTTTTTCTTGTTTCCTCTCTCTGCCTCATTATATGACTGTGAATAATGACCAACATATACATTAACTACTGCTATAATTGTGGTGGAATTAATTATTCTGAAAATAAGTCTCTTTGAAATTAGTGGAAGAAGGGAAGAAAGAAAGTGTGAGAGAGTAAAAGGTCTTGAAGTGAGAGTGCACATGTTTTTGTGTGAGAGTGTGTGTTGGTAATGAGAGCTCAGTGCTGCTGCTAACTTGCTCTAAATAAATCTATGATTACCATTTTCCCTTTAAAAGGAATAATTTCATCTTTGATATCCGTAATTGTGCTTAAGGGCTGCTGCGCTCCTCCGCTAGCCCTCAAACACTCGCTCTTCAACCCATGCAGAGACTATCACAGCAGCGTTTTATTCACTTAACACTTCATTCAGAACCTGTAATAATGAGCCTCACTGAATACTATTTTTAATAAACCATTACAACACCCAAAGAGAAGCTTATTCCAGGTATGTCAAGTGTGGAAATCAGCCTACTGTAGAGAACCCACAGCAGAGCAGATGCTGGGAGTGATCAATCATCTGTAGCACACACTTTCCAACAGGCTCGGACACCCAGAATAGAAAAGTCTGCTAATCCACTGGAGGTACAGACATTTCCCTGCATACTCATAGAGTAATGCAAAGAGGTGCACACACACTGGAACACATACCCACTGACACTGAGGGGCTTGTTATTTGCATGTGACAGTGTCTAACCAATAGAGGGTGGTGTTGCATTGCGGGTCTGAGTACAGAGGGTCATTATTTTCAGCTGGGAGTGAGCATGGAGCTCATCACATCAACACCTGCCTTTCTAATCTGTTTTTCATTACTGATGACGGGATAAAAAAAAGACAATCACCTCTTTAATGGATGATGCTGACATTAAGACTTGATGGTTGCTGTTAAAGAGGACGTGTCAGCTGCTCATTGATAAACAGGAGTGTTGGGTAATGTAAGGGATCTGGTAAAGCTTGGAACAATGTGTCACTTTCTTTCATTTATCTTAACAAGTAAATATTGCAGGGTTTAAATTGAATGTTCAAATTCAAAGATATGTTGGATGTAATTCTGTTTTAAATATACTTTGACTCGGAGAGACATTTTGTTTCTTTGTTTTGAGAGTCATATATCACCATAACATATCATCTTCATCAGTGAATAAATGCTGTTTTCAAGATCAACAATGAACAGACAAGGCCTTAAAGAACTAAAGTTCCTCTTACTTCCCTATCCCGATATATCAGCTGCATTTCATGGTCACCATGTGGGATATTCCTAATTTTGCCAATAAAAGTAGCTATATTAAAAGTTGCATCTAATCCCCAGAATATTAGATTCAGATTGGCTGACAACAGGGCCTGGTCTGAAAAAATGTTGATATGCTTAAAAATCAGAGCATCTCTTTAAAGTTGCGAACTCACTGTGCGGATTTGTTTTTCTCCATATCGTGCTTTATCTCCCAGCATGCATCTGAACACATAAACATCAATATTAGCAGTTTAGTGGTGAACAGTTGTTGAGAACTCTAAAGGACACCTCCATGTAACTCTAATTAAAACTTAACTGCCCAGCCGAGGCAACAGGCAATAGGAGGGGGGACGGAAAAAAAAGGCTTATTTAGCATTAACATAAAAACAAACAGCCGCATATATATATGCAAATGAAGGAAGGGCAAAAGCAGGATGCCGGGAGCCATCCACCATAACTCACACTGATGGCCTTTAAGTGAGAAATCCCTTAAAGAATGTTCAATAAGAAAGTGGGAATGATGCACATGTCGCCCTTCTGACTAATGAGCCAATCACGTTGCAAGGACATAGAGCATCCTGGTAGTGATGTTGGCCTGGAGTGTCACTTTGCACAGAGTGCACCCATGATTCCACAATAGTGAGGGAGCCTGTGATGATATAGAAATGCTCCAAAAAGGCAACATTGCATCTTAATGAAATGATTTACAACTTGTTGTAACATTAGCCGGGCTCAAACTAATAGTGTGAACCTGAAAATGTGTGTTTCGAGGCAGCCCTGATGTTTGAGTGTGTGTGGATGGAATATGAGTGACAATGAAGACAGTTCCTCCTTCTTTCCCTCTGTCCGTCCAATGAGCCATTCAAAGCAGCTTTAATCCTGTATCTTCACAAAAAAACATCAAACAAACAAACAAATAAACAAACAAACAAAAAAAAACACTGGCACTGAGTCGCGCCTTAAAAATGACAATGATTTACATTTCAACATAATGCTCTCTGTCGGCTGTTATTGTGACAAAGTGCTGCATGTATCCCTCCCAAATGAAAGTGGGTGTTCTGTTATGCATGCGACAAAGACATTTGGACGAACCTGCCATCCTCTCCTTTTTCTTGTAAATGAGCATGGGAAATCTATTTATGTCCTCCTACAGTATACTGCTGAAATAAGGAACGGCTTTGGCTTATTGGGAGACAGCCCGAGCAGCCGAGATGAGCCCCCGTGAAGATATAGAGAAAGAAAGAAAGAAGAAGTACGGAGGAGAGAAGCGGCAGTCCTCGAGGCGATGCAGGAAAAGTAGCGAGAAGTCCAAACACAAAGCCGGGCGGATGAGAGATGGTAAAAGGCGTTCTCGCTGGATGATCTCCCGCTCTGACAACACCTGGCCCAGGAACAAACTAGAGGCTTGTCTAGATGCGAGGTAGGGAGGGATAAAAAGAACCCTGAGGCCTGCACACCCCTACCTCCTTTCTTCTGCGAACCACAGGGTTGAGGATAGAGATGGAATTGAGCGACGAAGTTGAGGCGCAGACATGCAGATGAAGAATAAAAAAATAAGAAAAGAGTGTTTTTGGAATGTGATAGCAGCTAATCCAGCTCATCAGCGCTGTAGGGATGAAGGTGTTGGCAGCTGTAGTGTGTAGTCAAGGCTGACTGGCCACTGGTTCAAACCTCTGCTTTAAAAACACTGATGTTGCTCTAATCTAAATGTAGTTAGGTGGGGTTTCATCATAGGTGCCACTGCTCAGCCACTGCAACGCAGACGCTCACACACACACACACACATCACACACACACACACCCTACATGTTTCTCCAAGTCACCAAAATGTACTTTCGAGCCCCCTTCTCTTCTCCCACAGGGACGTGTGAGGACGAAAATCAGACGCTCCCCACTGTACCTGCCTCTCTTTTAAGCAGTGGAGGCTGCTGGGGAGGCAGTCAGCATCCGGCATGTAGAGATGCTGCTTTCTGCCACAAAACCATCATCAGTCGGCAAAGCAACACACACGTATACGATACACACACCATGTTGACACCATGCCAACCACTGCATCACCTATATGATGGTTCTGATGGAGATGTTTTCTCCATCAGCACCATCCTTTCCTCCTTTCCTTTGTAACACCTAAATTGATTCTTAATTTTGATCTCTGACATTCACATCACTTAGTGATTATTATGATAAAACTGTTCATAGAATGATGTGTATCTTCACAACAGGATATTATTAAATTATCTGAATGTGTGTGAATATGAGTGAAATGTGTGCATACATTTGTGCGCACGTCTAGGCCACGACTACGCATCAGTGAGAATCTTAAAAATACGGCTATAATATGGCTCAGTTGGTGAATCAGTATCATAAAATAATTAAATATTTATGTTTTTGCACATTTAAATGACTAAAAGGAGTTGTTTGAATTCATTATTAGGAATGTAATGTATTTTATGACTGGCCTTCATTGTTATGACAGTGCCTGCACACGCACTCGTAAAAAAGGTTTTAAAACGTTCAAAAGTTAACAAATATTGACTTAAATAATATTTGATAATCAGATACATTTATGCACGCTCTTCAGAAAACGGGAAAAGTGTGTATGGAGCGCCACATGATCACACACTACAAGCCTGCACGCATTTAAAATGTGAATTCATGCTCGTGCAAAGTGTCCAGCGTGCTCTGCGCGAAGTACTGAAGCACCTCAGGTCACAATTGAACAGAAATAAATACCGTTCTGGTGATGGGATACCGGCGGAGCTGATTTGAGTGACTCTGACCACGGCTGCCGTGCGCGCCGCACGCCCGAGTGTGTGCGAGGGTGTGAGTGGAGTGTGTGTGTGTGTCAGTGTGTGTGAAAGCCACCACTAGTCGCCCCCAGTGCTCTTCAGTCTCCACTCTCCCTTCTCACCGCAGACTGAACGTCACGTCCGCACTTGAACTTGAGTTTTCTCCCATTGTAGAAGCCAGAGAGCCGCACAGAGCCGCACAGAGCCGCACACAGCCCGGGGATGCGGGACTCTGCAGCTAGCACAAAGAGAAAAGAGGGTGGTAGTCTGTCCTCAAACCAGCACTGGGCTTTTACTCAAAGAGTTAAAGTCTAACCCGCCCGCCTGGCTGGCACTGCCAGTGCAGCACAAGAAGTGCCCACCACTTGGCGACAGCTCCAGAGTGCCGAGAAGAAAATTGGATTCCTATTTTGCACACTTTCAGACGCTAATTGGCGTTAAGTCACCTGCTTTCTCCGGACAGGGACGCGCGGTGTCCAGGGTGGCCGGAGAGTGGACACAAGTAGTCACTGACCATCAGGAGGTGACCGCCGACCTCCCGCGTTTTGCCGCCCGTCCCGTCCGCTCCACTCCGTTAATTTCTCCGCACTCCTCTGACAGATGGTGTGAAAGCGGCGGAAGACAGAGCCGGACTATCCCTCTCCCTCACCACTACCGCAACTGAAGAGGCGCGCAACCACTTTGGCAACGAACTCCGACTGAGCGCTCGGCCGCCCAGCGCTGCGCAACGGCCGGTCACCGCAGAGCTCAGGAGCCGCTGCCAGTTGGAGGGAGATCCGACGCATAGGGGTCAGTTCGACGGCCACATTAAGGACCAGAGCAGAGCAGTCAGTTTGGGGTGGTCAGCGAGCGGCAGGTTTTGGGGCCAGTCAGTATACAGAAGCAGCAGGAGGAGGAGAGCCGACCCTTCCAGCGCCGCTCTCCGGGCGATGCCAGTGTAAATGCCAGGGCGATGTCCCGACGCAAGCAGGGAAACCCGCAGCACCTGTCCCAGAGAGAAATAACACGTAAGTATACATACAAAAATCCACATCATCACAGTTTAGGATTAGCTCCTCTTTTTTCTCGCCGTTGTCATTCTGAGAAGTTGAGGGATTTTCAGACTTAGAGCAGAAAGTTTGAAGTGCCTCCTGAAGGCCATTTTCCTCTTCTGCTTTTCTGACAAAATTATATAAAGGCCAAAATTCACTTATCTGATTATTATGCTCTATAAATAGGCAGTTAATATTAGAGCACAGGGAGAGAAAAGTCTCTGGCTGCGTGTGTGTTTGACTTACGGAGAAATCGGAGATGCGCCCTGGTACTTTATTGAGACATGACTTCTTTGTTATTCCGCTTTTTGATCATAATTCAATTACAACCGACACTGCCATTGGTAAGTAAATTAAAACACTTAATTTCCAATTGAAAATAAAAGCACAATTGCAATTCCATCCATTTAAATCACTTTTATAGGCAGATATTGTCCCTTCCCGGTGAACATTAAACAGCAGCTTTGTTATATTCATATTATTAGAACATACACGAAAATAAGTCACTTATTAATTCGAGTATTTAATTCTAACAAATTATTTTAATCTGTCACTTCAAGAAAAAGGACAGATTAATTTACCAGCTGCCGTAAAGGAAATAAAAGAAATCCAATGATTGTCTTCTACTCGCGCTTTAAAGAAGCTGTACCGAGTGCCTCAGGTTAAACACGTAGACTTTATTTTTCTGCAGGTTATTGAATCTTTAATAGACACGTTACTGCCTCATGCCAGCCTCTCTGTATTCACTTTAATTAGTTAGTCCCGTTCATGCTGTTTTTCTGCTGCAAGGATTCAAAGCTTAAACTTCCCCCGGTTGTAATATTAATGCTGGATTTTGATTATTTAATAGGCTATCCTGCACGCATTGACAGCTAAAAATTCCAGGGTTTCCCTCACGGCACTAATGCAGAGCAGGCTGCAATAAGTGACGGCATTTAAAGGCAAAATGCGTTAAAATGAAGTAGTTCTATTATTGTGGAGGATTAATACGATCTTAAATGCCTTTATTAGTGGAAAAGAAAAATACATTTCTTATTCTGGAAAGCGTAAATTAACTTTTTATCAGATAATATCAAACCTAAGTGACGCAAATGATTAAAAGAAAATCGCTTTGCTCCCTTTTTTTTCTTTATCTTTACTTAACGCAAACACTTGACCTTTTGGCGCTGACACTTTTTGTGAGGTTATTTTTCTGGCCTCAGATCAGTGACTCAGCTGATGTGGCTCCAGTGCAGCCTGACAGCAACAGGAATTTAGGAAAGCACGAAATATCTGTAGGAGCAACAGTTTTTGGTTTGGGCATCTAATGAGTGTAAATGTTAAAGAGGCAAGTTTTACTGCTCAGTGTGGAGATGGTGCAGAATTTACTCTCTTTCTCTTTGGCTTCTTGTGGTTATTCTGCTGAGAGTTGTCTTGTGTGAAGGCTGCCAGATCAGATCACTTACAGCGGGCCTACAGTGTATCAGTGTGCACTTCAGTGGCTTTGGTGTGTATAATATAACACCCATATTTACAGTGCTCCCAGCATGCCTGTATCCAGGTTTTAAGCCACGCTGCTGTACTGTATATAAGTTCCTCGTCTGCTGTGAGGCCTGGCTTTATGGTGTTGCACTGCCAACCCACATGGCTATAGACAGACCTAAAGACACTGCGTGTTGCTTGGATGTCAGATAAACTCCTGACAAGTAGAGATTTTATTTCTTAATGCAACTAAAACTTGTGTGTATGCAGACCTACAGTGTGTAAGGCCTACTTGGTTACCTGTAGAAATGGGTCACATTGTACTCACTGCATGCTTCGCTGTGGCTTGTGCAGCAAACAGCCCACTACATATTCTAACAGATATACAGGTAGACAGGCAGTCACAAGATGTGGAAATACGACGAACGGAGATCCAGGCTAATAAATGAGCTTCCTGTTTGCACCGTAACAAAGCTGCTTCAAGCTCACTGTGTGTGCATGAGTGTGTATGAGTTGTAAAATGCAGTTTGGTAGTTGTGTCCAAAAAGGTCTGTCTGTCTGTCTGTCTGTCTGTCTATCTGTCTGTCTGTCTGTCTGTCTGCCTGCCTGCCT